GAGTATTACCGTACTTTCTTGACACATCTTTATGGAGTCTTGAGCCATAACACAGCATCTGACCGCGATGTTGAGTTTCAGGTGTACGGAAGGAGTCTGTCAGGCTTTGAAATGAACACCAAGGAGATCAAGACGATGAAATGGCGTAAGCAGCCGCCATATGGGCTCCAAGACCAAATCCGACACGCCGAGGACGAGTTGACGGACCTGGTGGAAGAAATCAAAGACCAGGGTGCAAAGGACGTTAGAGTAATCCTGGTGGGGCACTCGGTCGGCGCATACATCTCACTAGAAATCATTCGCAGGCTGAGGGCACATGGCCTGGCAGGTGACGATTTCGAGACAAGAGTCGTTGGTGCTGTGGGACTTTTCCCTACAGTCGTGGATATTGCTCGGAGCGAGAGTGGGATGAAGGCTGCTGTATGTCCATGTTACTGCTTTTTCTGACGGGACGCTACTAATCGTATGATGCAGCCGTTTCTCAAAAACTCCAATTTTTCTGTATTCGCTGCACTCTTTGTGTACTTTTTGACATTCATACTGCCAGTATCTCTCATAGCTACACTCGTAGCAAAGGTCATGGACTTTCCTCCAGATGCTGCTCAAACAACTGCAGCATTCATCAAGTCCCCACACGGCGTCCAACAAGCACTGCACATGGCGCGCGATGAAATGTTCCAAATCGACACCGACATCTGGGATGAAGAAATCTGGGGAGCCTCCGCCTCCGAGCCGGCAACAAAGCACCCGCACCCACGACCTATTTTGCGTTTCTTGTTTGCGCGCACTGATCATTGGGTTGCGGATGCCACACGAGATGCGTTGATTAACAACCGCGGCAGATATGGTAGAGGGGATGTAGAGGAGGTGGATGGTATGGGAGAGAACTGGAAGCCAATCATGGAAATTGACCATACAGAGGGGTGGCCACATGGATTCTGTATTAGACATGGGGTACCGGTGGCTGAGAAGGTGGCTGGATATGTAAGGGGCATGGTAGCACAGGATATGTCGAGGAAATAGTTTGATGTGGACAATCAGCTCAGGCAGCATATTGAAAATAATAGAATTCATAACATTCCTATGACCTATAAGGGTGCTTTCTGGGACTTCTGGTGTTGTTATGTCGTCTCTATCTCTTAGTCATCTCGTCTACTTTGAGATGGAGGTCAATTGCACGAATGAAACGCGAGTCCACGTGACGCAAGTCTAATGCCGGCATATCTCCGCTCCATCGCCGACGTCCAAGCTCCGCGAGCTTGGGCGTCACCAAGGCCGTCAAGATGCCTCCACTACAACAGACAAGTCTGCGCACCGAAGCCTCGGAGATTTCAGAGACCAGGAAGAGTAGCAGAGGGCCGCGCAAAATATGACCACAAGCGTATAATAGCAGCGAGCCGATTCCACGTCCCAGAATGGCGTACGACATGTCGAGCGGGTATGCGCCGCCGAGCACAAGCAACATGCAAGAGGATGCCTCGCTCCCCATGTTCAACATCGAGCGCGTGTCCCTGCAGTTCAACATATCTTCTGACTTTGTCGCCGCTGCAGTAGAAAATAATGTTCTGATCCTGGCCCTCTCTACCGGTCGTATTCTGCGTATAGATCTGGATAGTCCTGCAGACATAGATGGTTCGTCCTGCACACTCGAGTGCTAGAGCATTCCAACAGAACAAGCGCTTACTCGCATGTTAGATATTGATCTGCCCAAGAAGCCCTCGGAGATTGGCGTTATCAAGCGCCTTTTCCTAGACCCCTCTGCGTCCCACCTCATCGTAACCACAACCCTCGCCGAGAACTACTATCTCCACACACAGTCGCGGACACCGAAAGCATTGTCGAGACTAAAAGGAACCGTCATCGAGAGCATATCATGGAACCCCTCACAACCAACCGCTTCCACAAGGGAGATTCTGGTTGGATCCTCAGACGGCAATGTGTATGAAGTTTACATAGAACCCTCGTCCGAGTTCTACAGGAGAGAAGAGCGGTACTTAAAGAGCGTATACCGAACAAACGATGGCCCTGTGACAGGTCTATGGACAGACATGGTACCTGGGCGATCGGATCTGCGCCGCATCATTGTCGCTACACCATCCACGTTTCTGCATTTCTCTGGTAAAGTCGGACGCCAGGGAAACGAGGGAAGCGGATCCATCTTTTCGAAGCTCTTCGAAAGCGAGTCTGCAACTGTACATGAGGTATCCAATGTGGCTCCTACAGCGACCTCCTTGCTGGCTGTCTCTCCGGAAAACCAAGAGAACCCCAACAGAGAGGACCTGCAGACGGAAAGAGTATTCGGTTGGCTGACATCACAAGGAGTACTGCATGGGAAACTGTACTTGTCGCAAGATACTTCTGAGCTTGGTGGCAAAGTTCTTGGTGACGCAAAGATGCTGCCCAGATCCCAAATCCCACCCTCACAAACTGCTAGCGGACGCGCTCGCAGAACTCAAGAGGCCGTCACTTCTATGGTATTAAGTCAATGGCACATACTCCAGCTCGTTGAAGGTAGGATCGTAGCCATCAATCGCCTCGATGATACCGTTGTTCTCGATCAGGTGGTGCTTGACCAGGGACAAAGTGCATTGGGGTTGGTGGCAGACCTGAAGAAAAACACATACTGGCTCTTTACGACCCAGGAGATATTCGAAGTCGTCGTAACGGAGGAGAGTAGAGACGTCTGGAAGATTCTGCTCAAGTCGCAACAGTTCGAGGCGGCATCACAGTACGCCAAAACGCCAGCGCAAAAGGATGCGGTAGCCACAGCATCTGGTGATTACCTTGTCGGCAAGAACCAATATATGGAAGCAGCGACTGTCTATGGGCGAAGTACAAAACCTTTTGAACAGGTTGCGCTGACGTTTATCGACAATGGTGAACAAGATGCCCTGCGGAAGTACCTAGTGACCAAACTGTCAACGCTCAAAAAAGGTGCCATCATGCAACGGACCATGGTGGCTGTATGGCTGATTGAGCTCTACATGGCGAAACTCAACACGCTAGACGATACTATTACGACAAAAGCAGAACTCTCTGAGAGCATGAACACTGCTGAGACTCATGACCAGCTCTCTGTGATCCGGAAAGAGTATCAGGATTTTGTATCAAAGTACAAAGGAGACCTGGATCGAAAGACGGTATACGACATCATCAGCAGCCATGGCCGGGAAGAAGAATTGTTGTTTTTTGCGACAGTTGTGAACGACTATAATTACGTGCTCTCATACTGGGTCCAGCGCGAGCGCTGGCAAGAGTCGTTGAGTGTTCTTAAGAAACAGACAGACCCAGAGATATTCTACAAGTACAGCTCTGTTCTCATGGCACATGTGCCAGTCGAGCTTGTTGACGTTATGATGCGGCACTCCAATTTTGACGCACAGAAGCTCATCCCGGCTTTCCTCAACTACAACAGCCAAACTAAGACCAAGACCAAGGTCCCGTTGAGCCAGAACCAGGCAGTTCGTTACCTCCTCTTTGAGATCAACCAACGCAACTCAACAGACGCTGCTATTCACAACACACTCATTTCAATCTACGCATCACATTCCACGAAGGATGAGTCAGCGCTGCTCGCCTACCTGGAAGGCCAATCACTTGCTCACGAGCAAAACTACGACGCCGACTTTGCCCTTCGCCTATGTATCCAACACAGTCGTGTCCAGTCTTGCGTGCACATCTACAGCTCAATGCAGCAATACGTGCAAGCCGTCGACCTGGCCTTGAAATACGACGAAATAGACCTCGCATCTTCCGTCGCCGACCGCTCAAACACTGAGCCCGCTCTCCGCAAGAAGCTCTGGCTCGCTATTGCCAAAAAAGTCATTTCCCAGTCCAGAGGCATCAAGACGGCGATTGAGTTTCTACGCCGTGTGGACCTACTTCGCATAGAAGACTTGATTCCTTTCTTCCCCGACTTCGTCGTCATCGACGATTTTAAAGAAGAGATCTGCGCAGCCCTCGAAGATTACAGTCGCAAGATTGATAACCTCAAGCAGGAAATGGATGATAGCGAGGCAACTGCTACGCATATCAAGTCCGATATCAAGGCTCTTGAGCAGCGATACGCAATCGTTGAACCGGGTGAACGCTGCTACGTCTGCGGTTTACCACTGTTAGCACGCCAGTTTTTTGTTTTCCCATGCCAACACGCGTTCCATAGCGATTGTTTGGCTAAGCGCGTGGTGGAGCTCGCGGGGATTGCGCGTGGGAAGCGCATTGCGGAGTTGCAGGTTGAGGTGCAGAAGGGGATTAAGACGGGGGCGAGTAGGGAGAAGGCGATTCGCGAGCTAGATGCGCTGGTAGGGAGTAGCTGGTAAGTTTGTTGAGATTGCCTTCCCTTTTTTTGTCAGGATGCAGATGCTAACGCGTTGGGTGTGATAGTGTGTTATGCAGTGAGTTGGCTGTTAAACTGGTTAACGAACCGTTTATCAGCGCGAATGACGACAAGGACGAATGGGCGCTTTGAGTTGGCAAATAGTTGTCAGTTGGTTCTTCAAACATGTGCTAGAAGTCGTTCCTCACAAGCCAATTTAATTAGTAGACTCGAAAGTTTTATATTGTACATTGTACCAAAGAAACTTTTTTAGTTGACCCTTCCACCAAGTGAATGGTATATACAAATTTTCTTATCTCTCTCTCTCTCTCTCTCTTCCTGGTAACCTCCCAACCATTTGCACCGCCAAGAAAAAAAAGCCAGATCAAACAATGGATGGGATTAAGGAAGAATAAGATACCTACTGCCCCCGCTTTCCCCTAGACGCCGCAACGCTGATGCAAAAGGATCTGGGAAAAAAAGAGAAACAAGAGCAGATGAGGGGGAAAATGCCTTGAAATAGTCTGAGAAAAAAGCGATGCAAGATGGGAAGATGATGGGAGTCTTTGAACAAGAACGCCACCGGATATAAACTAATGATTATAAAAGACCTGAGCCCACTTCCCTTTCAGATCATCATGACATGTCGTGCCCGTGTGTAAACTAAGTGTTTGAAGCGACTTTTCTACTCGTCTTCGTCATCGTCCATGGCAACGTCGTTGGACTTGGGGGCAGCTGTTGCACCGTCATCGTCATCCTCGTCTTCATCGTCGACGACACGGGCTTTGCGTGGTCGAGGGGCAGCAGCAGCGCCTTCGTCGTCGCTTCCAGCGAGAGCTGCACCGTCCTTGTCGGCGTCATCTGCAGGGGCTGCCGCACCGTCATCGTCGTCGCTCTCGTCGTCAATGAACTCTGCAGACTTGTATTTGCCCGAGGGCTCACTCTTGCGAGCGAGCTTCCTCTTTTTCTTCTCACGTGGTCGCTCTCCATCGGATAGTTCCTCGGTACCGCTGACTGTAGTCCTCCGGCGTCTTGAGCGTGGCTCATCGTCATCAGAAGGAAGGCCGTCTGTGTCAGAGTCGGCGTCCTTCTTCTTGCGCTTGGGTCCCTTTGGTCCGCGTGCTTTACGTTCAGCTTTGCGAATCTCCTTGTCCTCGTCGTCTTCCATTCGCCTGCGCTCTTCTTCGTTGCGCTTCTCCATGAGCTCGCGATCACGCTGAATAAGGCGCTCTTGTTCTTCTGCGTACTTGCGCTTCTTCTCGAGAGCCTCTTCTTCTAGTCGCTTCTTCTCCTCTTCACGACGGAGTTTCTCTGCTTCGCGGAGACGGCGAGCCTGGTCGAGTTTGGTAGCGTTCTCGCCTTCATATGCTGCTTGCTTTTCGCGCGCACGCTCGAGTTGCTTGATCATGGTGTTGCGACCCATGTTGGCACGGGAAGTGATATCGGCACGGGGGAACGGCGGTGTTTCCTCCTTTGCGAGTTTCTCAAGCGCCTCAATGGCTTCTGTAAGGCCTGTTGCAGCATCGTCGACTTCTTCAAGAGTACGTTGGTGCTCTTGAAGCGAGTATATCATGGTAGCGATTTGGAACTGGACAAAGGCAACGTTGAATTGCGAGTTAAGATCGGCGGGAGCTGCCTTGAGAGCTTGCTTTGAATAATCGAGCGCGGTACGGAAACCAGCTATGCTACGCTCGTGCTTGGCTCGGAGGTACCATGCTCGTCCAAGGCAGGCCAGAATCTTGGGGTCATTGTGACGATTCTTCGACAGGGCGGCCTCATACTTCAATGTGTTAGCAGATGCTATTGTTGTGTACTGAGAAGAACTATAGAACTTACGTTTTCAATTGCGCGGGCATACTGTCTGATTTCGCAATATGTGTGGCCCAAGTTGACGAAGACACTATGGTCTTTGAGTGTTTCCTTGACTTTTGTGAAGATTTGTAGGGCAGTTGAGTAATCCTTCTTGTCCTCAACCAATGCGATCGCGATACCCTGTGCTGCATATGCATTCTTTGGGTCAAGTTGCAAAACTTTGTCGAAGAACTCGACGGCTCGTTCGTAACCTTTCCGGCGCTTCTCCTTATCCTGTTCAGAAGTCCTTGGCATCTCACGAGCAATGGCCAAGTGGATGTTACCCATACCCATGAGTGAGTAGCGGTCGTGCTTGTCGGACTTTTGTAGAGTGTGCTTGTAGAGCCGCTGTTCGTCGTCTGCGGCAAAGTTCTGGGTCCTCTTCTTGGACTTGTTGACGTACCATCCATACAAGGCGCGAACCTCGACGTTGTCTTCATTCTGCTTGAAAAGATCCTTGACAGCTCTTGGGCCCTCATCCTGAGGGTTCTCCTTGAGAGCCATATATGTAAGGCGAATGCGGGCGTCAACGTAGTCGGGATGCCTTTGAAGTAAACTATTATATACCTTCTTGGCCTCATCGGTTTGGCCCTCGGCTTCGTAAGTCCGGGCAAGGTTGAAACTGATAGAAGTCACAAGGGCATCTGTGTCGATTGTGTCGTCACGGTTCTCAGCATTGACACATGCAGTAAGAGCAACCTGGAAAAGCTCCTGAGCACGTACATAGCGCTCAGCCTGGAAGTGGAAGCAGCCCATGTTGTTGAGCAACTGTGGGGGCAACATTTCGCGGAGCGCGGTTGTGAGCTCGGGACCTTCTTCAATGCCTTCTGGATAATCCTCCTGGGGAATGGCTTCGATCTCCATCTGCTCCACCTCTTCAAGACATTTCAGACTCCTTTCAGGATGCTCGGTCTCGTACAGTCGAGCAAGGTTAAGAAGCACAGACTGATCGGGTACCACCTTCTTCTTGGGATCCTTCCATGCACTTTGAACGCTTTCGAGATACTTGAGGGCTTTTTTCAGCTCGGCAGACTTATCTTCAGTGGACTTGGTGTTTTGGGCATTGAAAACGTCCTCTGCATAAAGAGTTCCGAGCAGGGTTTGTGCTTCGACATTGGGCGACTGCTGGAGGATCTTCTCGAGGCGGAACTTTGCGCCATCGTAGTTGCTCATCAGGACATTCATCTGAGCCAGTCCGAATTTTGCGGGTATGAAGCCGCGCTCCTCGCCTCCACGAGCCTGATCAGACTTGGAGTAGTACTCGGCGGCCAATGCAATATTATCCTGCTGATGCGCGACCTTGGCGCGCAGGTACCAGCCATCACTGGCAATGGCATTGATGTCTGTGAGCTCAATGGCGCGCCTTGCGACATCTTCGGTCTTGTTAACGTCCCTGCGGAGGACGAGATAGCTACCGACGGTTGCGCAACTCAGAGGGTACTGGTTGTCTAGTTTGAGTGCGGGCTGGATGAACTCGCCCGTAGCCTTCTTGATCAACTCAGCAAACTTGGGGTCGGAGGTGGAGAGATTGGCGGTCTGCTGAAAGTTGTAGATTCCGAGCAGGATCAGGGCAACTTTTGAGCGGGGGTTCAGTTCGAGGGATCTGTGCCAGGCGTTGGCGGCTTCGTCTTTGTAGCCCAGTTGCCAGAAGCAGCAGCCGATACCGATGCGCGGGTCTGGGTCGATAAGGTCTGGAGAGCTCTCGAGGATGTTCTGGTACGCTTTAAGAGCGTCTGCCCATTTGCCCATGGAGTAGTTGACGCGCGCCTTTCCCATCTTGGCCATGAGGTTCCTTCCACCAGACGCTCGCAGCGCGTCCTCGAAACACTTGGCGGCCTGTTTGAGCGTCTCCATACGCTCAGGGCTGACGGTAGAGCCGGCAGCTGTGGCAGGGCCCTGAAGAGAGGCCTTGAGAAGGTACAAGACACCGCGCGCGAGGAAGAGCGGGGGATGCGAGGGGCTGATTCGCGAGGCATCGTTGAGGACTCCGGTCGCGGACTGGATCCAGAACTCCTTCAGTTTTGTGTCTGGGTCGGCATTTTCTAGGAATAAAGGTTAGCTGGTATGTTATATAAGACGCGACACTTGAGGCAGCGTACGAGGGCGGACGCGAGGAGCTTCGCGGCACTTGAGCAGGTACAGCCAGCAGAGGCCATTGAGGATGCTGAGGCGGTCGTCTGGGCGGGCGCGGTTGAAGACCTGGGTAGCCTGCTTGAGGACATCGATGGCCGTCTCTATGCGCTTATGCTTTGCGTAGGCGACGGCGACCTGGACCCAAGTGGACGTGGCGCTCTTCTCGGCCTCGAGGATGTCGCACAGCTCCGTCGGGTCGTCCTGGATCTGGTCGTCAAGGGGGATTTCAACATCGAGCTGGCCTCCCTCGTCATCGGCGACCGAGATTGTAATGGAGCTGGGCACGTCTGAGTAACGTGGTGGAGGAAACATGGCGCCGGCCCCGTTGACGCCATTCGCGCCGTTGGCATAGACGGCGGCCATGCTGGGGGAACGAATGCGCGGGTGGGAGCGTGATTTGGTGGTGTTGCAGAGGCGATGCTAGCACGGCATTGGGGGGCTCGAGTGAAGGGCCGGGGCGGGTCGAGGGCAAATAGCCAGCCTGCGCGTCGTCGTCGATGTCGTGGTGGTGATAATGGGGAGAGACAGAGAAAGAGAGAAGCTCCGACTAGTAGGGAGTCTTGGCGCGTGTCGCCGTCCTCCATGTCTGCCACCACGCAGCCCGCCCAGTGAACAACAAAGACGCGGTCGGGTGCGTGACACGGTGGCCAAATTGCTGCATTTCCATTGCCTCTTACTGTCTAGTTGTATATCACACGACATTCACATCTTCATTCGCATCCAGAGACTGTCTTGTGCGTTGTAGCCGTGGGTAGGCCTGTCCGCTCGACTCGGGCATGCACATGGACACCCCCGAGCTCTCCGCAACATACGCAGCGACAGCCATACATACATACGTACATACATAGACACCAACCACAACACATGCACCCCAACCATACCCCAGGCTCTCCTCTGCAGGATATGACTATAATCGCGACGCCCACAGTAATCGGTATCCCTCGACTTCTCTAGAAGCGCCATGTCGCGCAACCCAGGCTACTCGCAGGCGGGGGCCAATGGCGGCTATGCCAACGGCGCTGCCAACTACAACAACGGTGGGGGATACAATGGCTATGCCGGTAGCGATGCCAGCTACAATAGTAGGCCCAGTGGTGAACGTCCACGGCGGCCTGGTGGGTATGGCGCGATGAATGCCCCTTCAGACGGCTATGCGCCGCGACCGAGCGGCGAGCGCGAACGACCACGGCGTCCCGGTGGATACGGAGGCCTCGCTCAGGAAGATGACATGGAGCCAAGGCGAAGCAGCGACCGCGATCGCAGGCCTGGGGGCTATGGCGGCAGTGGCTTCTCTGCCCGCGACGGCAGCCCACGCATGGCTCCACGCACAAACAGCAACGAACATTCCCCAGCAAAGGGCCGCCCTGGCGACCGGCAGAATGGTTCCAGACCTAGGAACGCAAACTATGGGCCGGGCAGTCAGGCTATTGAGGAGGTGCTGCAGTTCATCCGCCAGAACTGGGACTTTATGACAAAGGACCAGTGCGTACCCATCGAAGTCGCTCTAAAACTTATGGACTCGAGCTCCCTCGGCCTCGCAAACCAAGCAGATCAGTTCCAGCAGACCCATCAGCAGTTGCAAAATGCCCTCAAGGGCATCGTCAACGGTACCTTATGTTGTCCCAGTACCTAGGCTTTTGGCTAACCTATTGCAGAGCACCACCAGGGCTTCAATAGTTCCATTGGTACCTTTCACCAGATCCAGTCCAGTCTCCAGAGCTCACAGCACCGTGTCAGGACGCTCAAAAGTTCCCTCATATCAGCCAAATCACAGCTCTCTACTGCAAAGCCGGAGCTCAGAGAGTTTGCTACTACTTCCCAGAACTACGATGGCATGTTGCAGATGCTCGATACAATAGAAAAGCTGCAGCTAGTCCCCGAAAGACTAGAAGCACGCATATCAGAGAAGCGGTTTTTGACTGCCGTAGACATCCTTCAAGACGCCCTGCGCATGATCCGCAAAACTGAAATGGAAAAGATTGGCGCCCTGTCTGATTTGCGCACATATCTTAGTAACCAGGAAGTCTCTCTGACTGACATTCTCATTGAAGAACTTCACAGCCACCTCTACCTCAAATCACCGTATTGCGAAGACAGGTGGAAAGAGTATGCCCACAACCAGGTCAAGGGTGATGTGTCTCAACGTGCGCAATCGGATGCAAGAGGTCGGCTGTTATACTACTTCCTCGATGGCCTCGACACTTCTGAGCCAGTATGTACGCGCTATAGTCTGATACATCCTACTAACAACTCTAGATGACCGACGACTCTGCCCACAACCCAGAATCAGATACCTTCCAGTATATCAGGCTCGTCATAGAAGCACTTGACAAGATGAGCCGCCTCGAGGTCGCCATTGACACCATCGAGCAGAGGTTACCCGTCGAGCTATTCAAGGTCGTTGAAAAGTCCAACAACGAAGTGGCCCAACGACATCCCAGCATACTACGCGCCTACTCGGCCAAGAAGAATACCAAATCCAAGACCGAGATTGAAAGTGAAGACGTCCGAACAACCCTACTCAATGATTTGATGTGGACCCTCTTTGCACGTTTCGAAGCCATTGCTGAAAGTCATCGGGTCGTGCATGATGTGGTGGCGGGCATCGTTCGCCGCGAGGGTCGGTCTTTCAGTGCAACACTAACCCGTGGCTTCAAGGAATTGTGGAAGCTCTACCAGAGCGAGGTAATATCAGCCAACTTCTGCTCATAGTGTTTTGCTAACCCTCTTCAGATACGCTCTCTTCTCCATGATTACCTTGCCACAGACGGCGAGGCCTCCTATAGGGATGGACAGGCCAAGTCGTCCGCTGCCAGCGCATTCTCTCGTGCTCCTCGCGATAAGAACAAGCGCATGTTCAAGCTAACCGATGTTGACACAAAGGCCTCAGACTTGGCCAAGGAGAAAAATGACCTTGAGCTTATCCTAAAGACTTCTGTTCCCGGACTTGTGTCTGATTCAAAGAGACTTGACGACGTCGATACCAACAATACTACAAATCTTGACGGTAGCGCCACTGGACACAAGCTTCTCGTGGAGCCAAGCGTCTTTAACATGGGCATCCTGCTCCCGCCTTCGCTCGACTTCCTCAACAGATTGAAGGAAGTCGTGCCATCCAATGCTGAAATTAGCCTAAGCACCTTGACCTCGTTCTTGGACGACTTCCTGGTCAATGTTTTCCTCCCACAACTCGACGAGACTCTGATTGAGCTCTGCGCACAAACATTCGTTGAGCTTGACGCCTTTGCTGAAGATCCACAATGGGCAAGACACTCCAAAAAGCCCATATTTAAGGTATGCGTCTGTTCAACGATTATTCCACCAAAGCTAATTCTGTAGGGCACCGCGCAATTCTTCTCTCTGATTACAGCATTCTGCAAAATGCTCGACAACCTTCCGCATGATCAAGCATTCTCCCAACTCATTGTCAATCAGATGGATACATATGCCCAAAAGTGCATAGGCTGGTACAAAGCCCTAGTTGGCCGCTCAAAGCCCACGCTCAGTGGCCGTCTTATGAAAGCACCAGCTGTATGGGCTGAGTCGGCTGCCATGGAAGAACTCATTGCCCGTTTGGAGCGAATAGATCCTTCTGACCACGCTAACCTCAACGATGCTATCGAGAGTGAGGTCGCTCTTCTCATTGAAGCAGTAGAAGCAGATGAACCCTTGGACCAGGCGGATATGATCCAGGACAAGAAGAGCATCATCAACTTGTGCCTGTTGTACACCAGCATGAAGTGGCTGGCTACTAAGACAGCACAGCTAAGGCATATTAGTGATCGTGCCTCAGCTCCAGTCAATATAGAGACCAGTGGTCAGAAGCACAACAGAAGATGGACCAAGCTTGCATCTTCTGACCCAAGACCCCAGGGTGCTCCTGTATATCTGCCGTTGAGCACAGAAACTGCTGCGTAAGTATCACACATGTTCACTGACAAGATATAAACTTACCCCGACCAGTATCTTCGATGCAGTAGTAGCGACATATCGGTCACTTTCTACTCGTGCCTTGCGCACATTGCATCTTGCGATCCGCAGTACAATTCTATACTCACTCGACGCAAGCATACAACCAAACATCTACATCGACACTCTTCTCAACGACCCCGATCCAACAATCCTCACTCTCAATTCGACTCTTGTGTCTTTCGATACAGAAGTCTCAACCTATATTCCTGCAGCCTCGTATAGTCACATCACGCGCGGTTTAGCATCGTTGATGGATAGATACCTCTTCACTCTCTGCACCTCCAAGATCGAGCGCATGAACACCAACGGCTGCGCACTCATGCAACTCAACATTCTTGTTCTGCAGCAGAACCTGAAGAACATCGAGGATGGCGCGACACTTCCTTACGCCGCACTCTTCTTCGACTTGTTCACCGCAGGCCCCGAGGCCATTGTCGCAAGAGCAAGACAATACGGCAAAGGCTTCGGTGTCCCCGGCGAGAGGTTTGGAGAGGAAGATGTCAAGAAACTGCTCCAAATGACATATGAAGAGAGGCTCAACGCCGAAAATAGAGAGGCTAGCGTGCAAGCTAAACGATCGCTGGATGCGCAGCTCCTGGAGCTCAGCGAATTCATGTATTAAACGGCGAGCAAAGTTAGTCAGAAAGGGTTGTTGTGGTTTTTGATACGTTAATGTGAGAGATTGTGGTAGCGTAGGATCGCATGAATTGTAAATAGTATAACGTGACGGATAAGCGAGTCGGTCAGGCAAGCGAGTCGGTCACCTCACCAACTTTGCGCACCTCTATAAGCGTGTAGCTCCACCACTATGTGACTATCTTAATATATATTAATATAGGAAGTTAAGTAGTATCTAAAGTATCCTTCTTACATGTACGTGAGTTATGGCCAGTCTCTCTACATGTTACAAGTAACAGCAGGAAGGATCCTCTCCCTGGG